GCGCATTATTATTACGTCAGTTTGCTAAATATAGCACCACAGTCAACAATAACAACTTTTAAAATGGTGGCGCACATTGCAAATGCTGAAACTAATGGCGTTGATAATAAGGGTGTGGAAGTATTAACGGCGAATCAGGGGTCCAGAAAACGGAAAAAAACTAGTTGAAATTGGTTAAAAACAGAATTGAGAAGGTATGCAAATTTTGTCATGATACAAAATGAAAATATCTTACACTAATCTTAATTACACTAATCACCCAAATTTGCAAGGTGGTTCTTTCCTGCCATGGCGCAAATCTAACTTAAATATTTTACATTACTATAAGCTTCTTAGAATAAACACGCAGGGTGCAAGCCATTGCAGTTTGAGAGGCGAGAAGCTATGACTAAATTGTTTGAAAAATTCTTCCCTCCACACCTCCTCGATCTCCTCTATAATAATTGCATCTAGAACATCACAGGAAACTGTTAAGGGGTAACATTACTGTAACATAACCCTAATCAAACCCTAACATGACAAGCAAATCCTGATGTAATTCTAACCAAACCTTAACTTAACCCTAAGCGAACAGTAGTAACTTACTCTAATCAAATCATCACCATAACCCTTAAGCTGGTTATAAAAATGTTTTTATCAACTTTTATTTTATAGTACTTTATTAATATATATATATATTTTTTGTAGGCACAAAGTGAATGTGAATGAGGAATTGATTGATGTAACATCGACCTGTAAACATAAATATGAAATCAAAAAGCGACCAAAGAAAAAATTTACTCCCGAGGGTCAGAATGCCAAAAAATGCTCTGCTTCTGGATGTTCACTTGATCGTCATAATGATGTTTTGTCATTTTTTCGTGATCTTTTTAAAACAAATCGCGAGGTTAGAATTATTTTGTTCTATCTCCACTTTTTGAAAAAAATGAGTTATTAATTGTGTAATGTACCTCTAAATAATGTTTTTCTACTATATTAAAACCTAAGTTAAATTCAAAAAAGTTTCGGAGAAAACATAAGTAATAAAAATCTTTTTATATGCCGTCTCCTAAAGTTTTTATTTTTTAAATCGTTTTATCTCGAAACATAAAAATGTGGAGATAGAACAAAATAATTCTAACCTCGCGAAATAATAAGGTGCAGCAGGTTAACCACGTTCTACTAAATGTCAAAGTGACCAGTGCCAAAAGAATGCGGACAAGATTTTGCCAAAGGGTATTTAACAAAACTTACTCAAATAACTATTTAATTAAAACAAATTGTATTTGTCAAAGTACTTTTCTAAAAACCATTCATCCAATTGGTAGAAACCGCCTGAATGGTGTAATTAAACGTCATGTTGAAAATCGATGTGCCACTGAAGGCCGTGGTGGGGATTGTAGAGGTGACAAGAAAAAATCTCGAAAAATGAGTGTTCGCCAATTTATCAAAAAACTTCGAGCAACAGAAAGGCACTATGGGATAAAAAAAAGTGTAAGATTATACTTGCCAAATAAATTTTAAAAAAATAGCCAATTTAAGCAAAACGTACAATTCAGCCATCTCAGCTGCAGACCTAAAAGTTGAATAAAGTTATTTCTGTAGAGTTTTCAGACAAGAGTTCATTATAGGATTTTCCTCGCTTTGAGAGAACTCTTCTTCTTCGAAACACTTGGATTAGAAAACATATCCAGAGATCTTATTGTCTTTATTATCTTATTTTCTTCTTTTTTTTTTTTTTTTTTTTTTTTAACATTTTAATGTTTCTAACACATGTAATGTGTGCAAAATGAGGTTTTGTGTGAGTTGGGCTTGAAATCTTGTTCGGAGAAGGGACGAATCAAGAAAAATCTCATTACTGAAACTGATGTTATCTCTGACTCCCTTTTTTCATATTCGTGTTCCTTTACAATGTTACTGAGAATGTACAGCCTACAATAAGCGAATGCAATTACAATAAGTCCTCTTTTCACAACCATCTCTTTCCTTACGTTAATGTTTTATTGTTAAAAACAAATTCGATTGCGAGGTAAAGAGATTGATGATCTATCTGAGAGTTGTTTAGACAAAGTCTCCAACCATGTTTGTCAATATGAAGAATGAACCTGCAAAACCAGACAAGTTCACTCTTAAAAGATTATGGGAAAATAAAAAAAAATAAAAAACATGATTTCAAAGAGGATCTTAATGATGATTGATTGCGCTATTCTTATGTATTATAGGACCACGCTACACAGTAGAAAGTTTACACATATTAGTGCACTTGTTCTCTGTCCACGAATTTATATTTTGAGACTTATCTGCTTTTACATGCTTATCGGTTATTTCGTAAAGTTACTTTTGTCCAAAATTAACATTTATTTTTATCTTTCAATCAGAATGAAAATAAATAAGTAACCTTTTCATATTGTATTACTTTTTTTTATTTCCAAAAAGGAAAATTATGATAAAAATAGTAACTTTATAGTAACTTTTTCCAAAAAACCAGTTTTTTTAAATTTCCATGTGTGGAATATTGTCCATCAATATCATCAGAAATTTGTGATGATAAAACAATTTGTTTTATAATTTTAAAAAACAATGTAAATATGAAAAATCAAAGTGGAAAATGTCCATTATTATTAACAAATGTCCATTATTATTAACAAATGTCCATTATTATTCAACATCTTAGGGTTGATCGGCCTTGATGATGGCAAACAGTTAACCACAATGTTTGAATGTATTTTACCTTTCTTTAAGAGATTGACTGGAGTGTCCACGTCACATTTGGATTTACATTGAACATTAATCACAGGCACATTGTTTCCACCGTATGTTCTTGTTGCAATAATTCTTTTTCCTTCTTGAATATTTTTTAACCGGTTTGTAGATAACACGTGTTACTGTCAGTTATCACAAAACTAGTCAGTTCTAATATAGAAAACCTTGCTACAAATCTTAGCAAGGATTGAAGTTGCTGCAAATCAAACACGATACTGCCAGGGCCGGCATGTACACGCTTTTTTTTTTTGGGTGGGGGAGGGAGGGTGTGATTAAAAAATAATGCCTAACTTTTAATAACTAACTTTTCTTCGTTATTATTATATGCAATCATTTTAGTATTATAAATATATTAGTATATCATATATATATATATATATATATTTGTTAATTACTAAAGTAACCAAAAATTAGCATTATTTTAACAATATTAAAATTCTAATTTTTAAAAAAATGACATTTTTTGATAAATTTCTTTTTTACGGGTTTAGAAATATCTTAGTAAATATTGATTCTCCGTTGTTTTATTGACGCCCACCTTTCAACAACCTTTTTTAAATCATTTTTCTCCAATAAATCTTTATTAATATTAAGAAGCATCATATTTTGAAGTCGATCAGCGTGGAATAATTTTAATAAATAAATAATTTTTATCAGTTTTAGTTTGCTAAATGTCGTTCATTTGATGATGTACTTATGGGTGCTGTTAACATTAATTTAAATATTTTATTTATAGTTGGTAGGACTTTCTTGTGCATTTCTGATACATTAAAAATATCTAATAAAACTAAAATGTCTTTACAACGATGAACCAGTAATAGAAACTCAGAATAAGTTTCTTCATAATCAGTTATCTTAGATACATCACAGCCTGGAGTAAATAATTCTATAATTTTTTGAAAGTCATCTACTAAGAATTTGGTAGATAATTGTGCTTTAAATAAATTAAATAATGGTTCAATAGTTAAAATACATTTTTTTAAATGCTCAGAAGACAAAAAAAATAGAGTATCTAAAACCTTTTTGAACTCTGATCTATAAAATATATATAAAAAATAAATTTTGTCTCAGAACTCAGAATATAATCTATGTTTTTTGACAATAGTCTTCTTCTATGAACTCGTTTAAAGTCAGATTCAGGATCAATACCTAATTGAAGTGCATAACTTATTGAACTTTCAACTAAATTATCCATTGCCAGATTGTCCTTACTAATACTGTTAAAATCTGAGTGAAACTGTTTATCAACTAAGAGCATCGACTATGAAAGTTTTGAAACTAAGATCTTTAGCTTCAAAACTTTCAGTAAAATTTTTTATTTTGTACATGATATTTTTCATAAAATACAAGATACTATAAAGTCAAATGTCAGCATTTTTTTAGATAATCCTAAGGCTTGAGCTCTAGTACTTTTATCTAAATTGAGATAAGTTGACATACCTACTAGAGTATTTATAACTGATTCTAATGAAACCCATACAGATTTTATCGATTCAGCTCGAGCTGTCAATCTTGTTTTAGATAAATTACCGAGCTGTAAAAAAGAAAAAAACATACAATTGTTCCAACACAGAAAACAAATCTTCAACTATAACACTGGCATCACAGCTATGCTCAAGGAACGTATTAATTCTATGGACCTGGCAAGGTATAAATGGAATTGAGCAACCAAGAAGATCAGATAATTTTTGTTTTGTTCCATTTGTTTTACCAAACATACTACTAGCAAAATCACATGACTGAAAAACAAGATTTTGTGTAGATAATCCATTTTTTTATAATAACAGTTTAAATCAATTCTGTAATGTCTAGTCCACTTTTGTCTACAGCTTCAACCCAAAGTCGTACAATGATAACTAATAAGAATAAAATGCTTCCTTACACGCAACGCGTAAAAAGGATTGAACTTGGTGCAAATCAAAGGAAGGGGGGTACATGGGGGGTGTCACCCCCTCCCCTCAATCACTAAATCTTAGTTGGCACAAATCGAATTCAGTGACTTTAGTTGGCAATGCAGGCTAATTAAATTATTACGATTATATTTTAAAATATTTACTTTTTACAATATTTTTTTTAACTTTTTAAAACTAATTTGATTAATTTTTAAGATTTAAATCTTAAAAGTTAATCGTAAACTCGTTTCGATTGTAAAAAGTAGGTCGGCTACGTATGATTTATTTTCGGTTACCGGTTTCTAAAACATGTTTATGATCGTTTTCTCTTTTATAAAGTGAATAATTATTTTGTTGCAAGTTACAATAAATGTAAATAAAAACAAAAAATAAAGAGAGCAAATTTTCGTGTGTCTTGAATGCAATAGCATATTTGACGATGATTATAAAAGAAAACACGAATTGAAACAGCATGATGGTGAAAAAGTGAAAACTAAACACTTTGGTGTCCCTGATAATCCTTTTGTTGCTGTTTCAAATAAGAATCTTTTCACAGAAAAAACCATATCAAAGGTAATTAATAATAAATCTAAATATAGTAAAAAAGTATATGACAGCATAATAAAAAACAGCTTGTTTTTAAAAATTAATAATAGGCAAGTAAAGCTACTTTATCTTCATTTGAGAGTTCATCAAACCTGGAAAACTTATATTCAACTTCTTTACAAAATCCACTGGAGTTATCAAAATCAGAATACGACATAAAACATGTGAGTTAGTTTAAATATTATTTTAAAACAAAAATAACAAACTATATTTTTTTAAATTATAATTTATAATATTTTTGAAATATAAGTTATAATTTAAAAAATTAAAGCTTGTTATTTTTGTGTTTCCTTTACATAGAAAATAAGGAACACTGTTGTTTCAGATACCGATATAAATTTTTACCAGCAGCCCTAAAATCAATCTTTTCAGCTACAATAGGCCATTTAGTAAATTTAAATGTAAGAGAGAGTTATTGTGCACAGTATATAAACATTTTATAATATATAACAATGAAATTTTATTTTGATATCATATCAGCGATATAATACTAAAAAAATATTTTAAAACATATATAGAACTCTGCTGAGCCAATCATGACAGGCCTAAGCACCACCAAAAGTATTCGAACTGTTGATAATGTTGTTAAAGAAGCTACATATTCTGAGATTATTAATGATAACTTAGATAAGATTTATGTTATGTATGTATGTTATGTTATTAATGATAACTCAGGTAAGATTTATGTTATGTATATATGTTATGTTATTAATGATAAATCGGGTAAGCTTCTTATCATTTAAGAGCTTAAAAACTTAGTTTTGATATAGTATTCCATGAAATAATGAAAAAATGCCAACAATTTGCAAAACACAGCATGTAAAATATTAAAAAAAATGATAATATAATATATTTTATTCTAGTTTTTTTCATATATATTGTTGTATCGTAATTAGGCAGTTTTAATATTAAATGAAATATAGTTGGTATTTTTTTATATTTAAATAGTTATTTTTTTATGGTTGCAGGTGACAATTATGCTTACAATAGGGTTGCTTGCGCTGGAATGCTTGAATCACTTATATATAATTTCCAGGAATGTAACTTACGATTAAAACGCGAGTGCAAATTATATTTTCAGTTATGTCTATTTTTAGAACTTGTTTAGATGCACTTTTCATACTACTATCTGCTGCATTTTTATAGACAATCATTAGTTTTATGTCAAGTTGCTTAAAAGTGAAAGAAGATAAACATTTCAAATTCATGATAGAAGAAAACCTCTTAATGGCAGCAAGACCACAACCTATTTCTCAAAATCCAACGATAGCACAAGCGTTTACATCAAATCCTTGACGGTCTTGGGTAGAAGCTTTAGTTGAATTAACCGTGTTTTGGTGAAGTATAAACAGTCTTCATCTAAACACAAATGGAACATAATATCAGATACAATGTGAAAAACCTTAACTTTTTCTTTGATATCTGTAACATCGACATCTCCTGCACAATCAGAACAAGCAAGCTCCTTACATATAGTTGCTAAGATATTAAAATGAGTAATAATGAAAAAACTATTTTCATCAATCTCACATTACACAAAAGGCTTATTGCTTATTACATCAAGAATAGAAGAAAGCTTTCTTGCAGAGTTAGATTGATTTTTCAAAGTATCATAAACACCATCAGCATCAGGGTATTGGTTTGCAAATATGCCATTTCATATTCTTTTTTTTTTACGAGAAAAATTTTTTTTGTTACATTTTCCTTTATACTTAATATTTTTAGTGCCATTTATAGTAAGTATTTACTATATGTTTAATCTAAACAATATAGAAAACAGTATCATGCATGATAAACAATTTTTAAAACAATGTTTGAAACTGTTTGCATTTTTCATATGTAAAGCTGCTAAATACGAGGTTTATACTTTCCAAGTATAGCTTTTAAATAAAGCAATATAAAGCTTAGTTGACAAAAATAATGAGAAACCTAACTGCGTACAAACAATACAAAAATTTGTTTGAAAAGATTAAAAAAAATCAAAAAAAAAATTACTTCTCGAATCAATTAAAAAAAAAAAAAAATAGTAACATTAAAAAAACATGGGAACTTATGAAAGAAATAATTGGAATAAAAAACTATAAATCTAATAGCTTACCTAATAAAATTTTCATAAATAATAAAGAGTATAACAACAAGTTTGAAATCTCAAAAAAATTTAAATTTTTTTTTGTAAACACTGGCCCTAATCTGGCCACAAAAATTTATTCTCCTAATAACTCATTTGAAGCCTATCTAGAAAACGTTAACTGCGAATTAATATTTAAAGAACTAAAAGTTAAAGAACTAGAAACTTAAAAATAACAAGTCTCCAGGTATAGACGATATTTGCAATAATATTGTTTTCAATGGTTTTTCAATAAGCAAGCCTATTTTTACAAATTAAAAACGGCTAAAATTATACCCATTCTTAAAACCGGTGAAACATCATCTTTAAATAACTACAGACCAATCTCCATACTTTCTACTTTCTCTAAACTACTTGAACGAATAATCTACAATAAATTATATAATAATCTAACTCAAAATAAACTCTTAAATAAAAAGCAATTTGGTTTCCAGACACAACACTCGACCGAACATGCAATTCTAGATCTAGTAAATACCATAAGTGATTCATTCGATAAAAACCAATTTGTAATAGGAACCTTTATAGATCTATCAAAAGCGTTTGATACTGTCAATCATAATATATTACTAAAAAAAATGGAAAAATATGGAATAAAAAATATAAATCTTGATTGGTTCAAAAGCTACCTGTGGGACAGACAACAATGCGTAATTTCAGACAATTACAAATATTCAAACCTTTTAGAAATAAAATGCGGAGTTCCTCAAGGTTTCATTCTTGGTCCTCTACTATTTCTAATTTATATCAATGATCTTCCAGAAGCCTTAAAAAAACTTGATGTTATTATGTTTGCCGATGACACAAATATATTTTATTCATCGTCATCCATCAAAGAACTTTATGAATCAATGAACACTGATCTTGAAAATCTCAACATCTGGTTCAAGGCAAATAAATTATCTTTAAATACAGAAAAAACCAAATATATCTTGTTTCATTCTAACCAGCATAAAAATAATATACCACCAATCCTACCATCATTAAAAATAAGTTACATAGCATTAATAGAACTGAAAAAACTAAATTTCTTGGAATAATTATTGATGAGAAGATTTCCTGGAAGGCCCATATAAGTACAATAAATAAAAAAATATCAAGAAACATAGGTGATCTTTATAAAGCTAAACCAATGCTCTCACAATCTAATCTTAAAATTCTCTACTTTTCTTATATTCAAAGTTATTTAAATTACGCTAACATTGAATGGGGGAGCACACATTAATCTAAATTAAATTCTCAATTCGTGCATCAAAAACATGCATCAAGACTGGTTTATAATAAAATTAAATTTACTCGTGCCGATCCTTTACTTAAATCTTTAAACGCACTAAATATCTATCAAATTAATATATACCAAAATATTTTATTTATGTTTAAATACAAACTTGGACTAGTTCCAAATTATTTTTCTAATAACTTTTTTCAAATTAACGCTAATAAGTATACTACAAGAGGAACAGGAAATTTCAAGTTGCCTATACAAAAAAACAAAAATTTCGCAATATGCAATTGTATACCGTGGCCCTTACCTATACAACAAAGTCATAACCCAAAATATAGAACTTAGTAATTCTGGTAATCTTTATAATTTGAAGAAAAACCTTAAACATCTCATAATTAACTCAACAAATTTTATCGATATGTTTTAAACATATTTGTCAAGAAAGTGAAGAAAAAAAAATAAAATCCAAAATTCCCGACGGGCATTTGTTTTTAAAAGTTACGTTCTAAATGTGTTTTAAACGTCTTTTAAACGTCTTTTAAACATTAATGTTTAAAAGACGTTTAAAAGACATTTAAAATACATTTAGATCGTAACTTTTAAAAACAAATGCCCTTATACAACAGCTACTAATTTTTAATATCTCAATGTTTTTATGTGTATCACTCTAGTAATGTCACTTAACAAGTTTGCTTCTTAATTATTTACTTATTTTATGTCTCAAAGGTTCTCGGTGACAAGACTTCTTAAGTCTTCTGCAAGTTTCCTTACAACATCACAATTATTTCACCAAATTATCTTATTAAATTTATTATCATAAAATATATATAAAACATATACTTTGTATTTAACACAGTGTGTTTGATAATATATTTTTAATGATTTGTATATGTGTACATTTATTGTTGTTTTCTCTTTGACTATATATTATGTCAAGAGAAGGAATTGTAACAATAGTTTAATAAATTGTGAAAATCAAGAAGAAGAAGAAGAAAAAAAAAAAGAGAAACAAGAACTTTTTAAGAGCGACTAAACCCTGATATCCGGATGACAATAGTAATACTTGAAATCCACGTTTTGGGTACCGTCAACTGGGGTGAATATGAACAACGGGTTGAAAATGAACATCAATACCAAGTTTACTAAATGGTGAAGGATAACGCACGATATAACTAAATAGTGAATTATTTTGATTCAGGTGACTTAGATATAATATGAAGAAGTTAATTTTTAGCTGCCCTCTAAAAATTTATTTTTCACCTACTTTAAATATCTCATGTAAGTCTCAAATAGTAGTTCTGTGGTTTGGGCAATTAAACTAAATAGCATATCTTAAGAACCGTTAATCAGAACTTTATAAAAATTAGCGTACATCAAGTTCAATTATATATTGCTCTAATAAAACTATAAACTATGGTATAACTGGTCTTTTTCAGATTTTATGGTCATTTAAAAGTCACAAATTATTTTCTGCAAACTTTAGGAACTATGATTCGAAGTTAAAAAAGAAAAAAAAATTAGCTAGGAATATTAAACAAAGTACAGGCAACATTTTATTTTATTATACTTTCACAGTTTCCGAAAATAACACATTAAACAAGTTGAATAATACTTTGAGGCTAAAAACTTTAATTAACGGACTTTGAGCAACTTATAAGGCGCACAAAATAAAAAATTAAAATATTGTGTATTGTTCAAAGTCATCCCGAATCGGTTGTTCATTTTCACCCCATTTTGGAAATATGGGTATGGTCATATAAAACCAAAAAGTTAAGGTACTTACTGCATAGTGCTGATCAGGCCTAGGAATATTCCAGGAAGCTAGAAAGTATAATGTTCTGTTACAAAAAAAAAGGGTAGCGATTAGGGTAGCAGTTTTCTTCTATGATTCAAAAATGTTTCAAAAGCGTTCATATTCACCCCAGTTGACGGTATGTAGCGCGTATATCTTTTTAAATGGATAAATTACAAATAAAAAAACGCATTAAGCCTAGATTACTTTTTCAGGTTACATTATCAAGCTATATAAGTTTATTCTTTTTGTAATATTATTTTGCTGCCGTGATATTTTATTAACAGTTTTATAGTTTGTGTTTATAAATAAAATAAATTCTAATAATTTTTCAAATTAAATATCTAACAAGTTTTAATTGTTAATAACAAATTTAAAAGAAAATAAAAAAAAAAAAACAAACGTATGTTATCCATTTAAAAAGATATACGCGCCATGTACCCAAAATGTTGTTTTCAAGTATTACTTTCATCATCCACATATCAGAATTTTTTGACAATGATGTCAAAAATTATTTTATGTGGCAAAACTCAAACTCAAATAGGACCAAATCTCATACTCAAATAGGACCAAATGTACCTTCATCTTCCAAAATTATAAAACAGGCGTTGAATGATTTTTAAAATAGTCCAATGGCTTCTGAATGTCTAGAGTTTTCGAAAAGCTATGAAAAAAATGCAAATTCCAAAATCAAGTTAGCGTTGACTAAGGTGGCAAAAAAGTACCTCACACCACCTCCAACATCTACAGATGTCGAAAGACTGTTTTCTACAGCGGGAAATATTCTCTCAAACGAAAGAAACAGAATCCATCAAGAAGATTTGTAAAAACTTCTTTTGTTTCGAGAAAATCTTCCAGTTGTTGGATTCTGTTATTTTTATTAATTTAATATTTTGTTTAAATTAAATCTAACTTTAAAAACAATATATATTATTGATTTTTGGTTCCTGTTGCGGTTTGGGTTTATTATCTGTTCCGGTTATGAGTAATAAAAATCAATTTTTGGTTCAGTTCCGGTCGATCACTATTTAATAGTTATGTAAAAAGAGTTTTCTAGTTTATTATTTTCCAAAAAAGTTAACTATTTTTAAAGACTAAATTTCTTTCTTGAAAATTGACAGGTGCTAAAAGCAACAACAAAAAAATATTTTTCTTAAAAGTTAACTTTTTGGTAGAAGGAGTTCATATTTTTCGTGTGATCAACTATTTAAAATTATACACACTATTATGGTATTATAGTGCAAATTCTTTTGGCGTACTCATGCCAGTATTGACAACGCTTCGCACTTATGTTAGTTTACTTATTCAGCTTCTAGAAAATTGAAGAAATTATCTTATGTAATATAAAGACAAAGTGGAAACCGGAGTTTTTTTACCCATAAAAATCCCGCAAATTGCTAATTTAATTAGACCCTCTTATATTATTTAATATTAACTTGTTTTGCTTAAAAAAAAAAATTTTTAATTGAAATTTTTTTTCCAGAAAAGTAAATTTATTTCTTCATTTTGTATTAGAGCGACGCGTAGTGTCCCTGTTTAAAGTAATTTAAAACTTATTATACTGAGTAAATAGCTTAAAAGTAGACGACAAATATTACCGAGATCAGCTTAAAGTATTAAATAGATTATTATTTTATAAAAATTTCAATAGTGCACATACCGAAAAAATGTAAAGACTGCCCAGTCTTTAAAGTTTTTCAGTATGTGCACTATTGAATTTGAAAATTGATTGGCTACGTTAAAAAATCAACAACAAAAAAACGTTTTTAAAAAATACCTACTATATTTTTTCTTATATTTTAAACATAAGCAGAATATTTATTATGATCAATTGTTAGGCCTGACTCGATTTTACAAAAGAGAAGGCAATAAGTATCTCAACATTAAATATATATTACAAACAAGGTAAGACCAAAAAAAATGGCAATACAAGTTGTAATTCATTTAAACTAGCAAGTAATAGTAACTCATATACCACAATAAAGTATTCATGCAATTAAAAAATGATACAATACGCGATAAGTTTAAACATTTTAAATACAAACTTTTACATATTCAAATACAATAATTACATACAATTATCATTTAAAGAAATTTGAAAATCGAGAGAACGAAATACAATAACACGAATTTTCCTATTACTAACTGAAAAACTTTGTAATAGTTTAAGAAACCATTATATATTTCTACTTCAAAAAGAAGAACATATTTTTAATACAATAATTTACATTTTGAGTGAGTAAAATATTAAATCTTCAAAAAAAAAACAAACAAAAAAAAAAGACCAGAAAACAAAACCATGTGAAGCGCAAACTATGTTAACCGAACACAGAAGACTAGAAGAAAAGAAACAAAAACATTGCTCTCCATCGGAAAACATTCGAAGATAATGCAACGATTAAAAATGAAGAGAAAGTTTTTCACAAACAAAAACAAAAAAAACTTTTTGCATAAAAAAATGACATCACCGACATCGCCTCAAGTACATCACCGAATAACAATAACAATAATAAAAAAAAAATTAATAATAAAAAAACAATATATATACGAAATATAAAATAAAAAAGATTTTACCAGAAAAAGTTATAAACATATAACTAATAACATATACTTGTTAAAATAGGTTGCCCTATTGAGAATTCGAATTTGAACAGTTATAAAAAATTGCAAATAAATAAATTTTCAAGTTTGACAGCATTTAACTGACTTTCGTTGATCGATTTCTACAGTTGGTGCTACTTGGATTGTTTGAACGTTATCGCTCGGTTGATTTCCCGTTCGATTTGAAGCATTATGTATCTGCTTTTGAGATACAATATGGTAAATTTCTAAAAAAAAAAATTTTTTAAAACGATTTAAAGTGGACCAGAGAAAAAAAGATGGCATAATTATTGCTTTATATGTGGATATGGTGCTTCTATAAAATTTGTCATATAATATATGACAAATATTATAAAAGCATATATATATATATATATATATATATATATATATATATATATATATATATATATATATATATATATATATATATATATATATATATATATATATATATATATATATATATATGTTTTTCAACTATTGCAAAAGGATATTTACACAACTGCTCTTCTTTATCTGCAGTAGAAAACATGATCTTATAAGCATTAAGTCTAGGAAATTTGCAAGCAGAGCAATGGAGACTGATGAAATTACAAATGGGGAACGATTTATTTTGTCTTCTGACGGAAACCCATTGATGATTACAGTTGGATGATAACAAAGCAAAGAGAAGGTACTTATATACTGTTGAGTACATATTTATCAATTGAGAAGATATTAATATTTTGTTCATTTATCTAGGTCAATTAAACAAGTATTTCTTCAGATGATTAAAGAACTTTAAAGAGTGTTTGAACTTTCCCTGAATAAAACAGGGCTATCGATATCCACTCGTAAAGGAATGGGAAGTAAGTTGGCTGTAGAAAACAACATTTTTGGAAAAACGAGTGAACTTGAAGAGTCTTTATAGCATTTTTATCTAGTAGAAGAGGTAGCAATTATAGTATATCATTAAAGTATTGAAATTATATCTTTTAGTATTGAAAATTAATTAAAGCATTAAAAATTTTTTTAAAACTTATTGTTATCTTTCAGGTCAACTTGCTTGATAGTACTGGTGGCACTTCTATAAAAAACTTAGTTTTTGTTCAAGACACATCTAGTTTTATTTTTGATTTAATTATTCAACGTTGCCAAATATACAAAAGCCAGCTTTTGTATATATTTCTATGGATGGAGGTGGTATCATGAAGGTCATTGTAAATGTTTTTGATGTTAATGAGAATACTACTTCAAATTTATATTTAAATAGTGGTGTATAACAATGTGAAATCCTCTCCATAGTTGAAGATGTGCAAGAATCAAACTTCAATTAAAGAATAATTTTAGAGAAACTCAATTTATAAGATGTTAAGTTTTCTGCAGCTTTTGATTTGAAATGTGCCAATGCAATTTTAGAATATCAAGCCATGCAGGTAAAAAAAAGCTTGTCTTTGGTGTGAAGGAGACTTAAGTAAAGTTTGTGGTAAACTGCGAACACTTGGAAGCCTTGACTATTGGTATCAAAGATACAAATAAAGATACTGTAGAAAATAGTTCAAAGAAATCTAATATGAAACATTTTATGAACATGATTTATCCAAGAATTCTCTACCTCAACGTAGATCCAGATACACTAATACTACATTTAGGATGGGAATAATTTACACCAGATACTTAAGTGTTGATGAGTTGGACGAGTTGTTTTTTATGAATATCCTGATCTTCTGCTAATTGTTCAATGTTTAAAATACACTAAGATTGTTAAAGATTCTTGTTTCGGTAGAACACTTGAGCTTTGGTATCAGCAGGCCAATCTAAAATTTGAGAATTCCTTTTTATATGCTCAAGAAATTACAAATATTGTGGGAATAAAAACTTTCAATAAGTTGGTAAGTACACATACTCTTGTGTCATAGGCAACCTTTTGTTGAATACCACAAATGTGGTTTATCTAAGTTTGATGAACAATGCGGAGAATCAATTCACTCAAAATTCAAAATAATGTAGAACAGGTTCATACGACAAGTTGCAAACAAACAACATGGTGGAAGACTCCTCTCTTCTGCGATTGACTTAAGCAGAAGAAGAGTTAGTAATGTTTAGGTACTTTATGTTCCATGTCAGTAGTATTTGTAAATATTAGTCATTTTATTGTTTTAAATTTTATTCAATTTATTTAAATAATTTAAAAAAAATGAATTTTATATTTTTTATTATATTCGCGGGGCACTGTACTTGACTGATGAAATATAATAATTTTTTAATAATTTTGCAAATCTAAACTTCAAAAATAAATTCAGAAAAAAAAAAAAATTAAAAGTAAAAAAATAATAATAAATAAATGGGGTTGGGACCCCTCGGTCTTCCCTTTTGCCACATTTGGGACTCTTAGCACTTGGCCTAGATTTTAAAATCAATTTTTTTCTATTATTATAAAATAAATACTAATAAATAAAAATTTTGTTTAATTGACATGACAAAAAACCTGGCAATCTCTCTGGTCCACTGTGGATTTTAAAGACATTAAAAATCGTTTTCGTAAATGAGCTTACAAGCTATAAATTACAAAAAAAAAAAAAAAAAAATCATAAAAATCAAAATAACAGATTTTGGTTTAAAATGACAAAATGACAAGTAAAATGTCATTACAATTTGTTTAGTTTCTTAATGAGAAGTAAATACTTTTCATTAAAACACATAATCTTTAAACAAAAAATTTAAACATTTTAATCAGTGCTAAAAATTTAAACATTTTAATAATTGCTGCAATGCTATCAGAGATTATTTGGAGTATTGGTGGATCTTCCTGGTGCAGGCTACAGTACATCCTTCTAGTTGGATGGAGGAAGATCAATTTGCACAATGGATTAAGTCAGTGTTCATTTTTTATAATGCAAATCGTAAAGGCCAAGTGGTTTTAGCAGCTGACAGTCATTTAACTAGGCAAAAATGTGTAAAGTATACAAAACAAAAATTTGTGAAAGATAGGTTAAAACAATTTTTCACCAGTTCACACTATAACTTCAGAATTCAATGTGATTATGTCCACTTTTTGGAATGTTTCTAATTTGGATAATTTTTAATAAAAAAAATGTTATGATTTTTAAAGGATTTGTGTTATTCTATATCAAAGAGTACTTATTCTGATTATTTTCATAATTTTTAATTCCAATATTTTAATATTAGTCATATTTATACATTTTTATTTTATGGACTAAGTCACATCGGCTTCTGAATGGTATTCTGGTGAATAAAAAATATGGTTTAGACCAATAATAAGACATTTGAGCTTAAAAAGAAAGATCAGTCAACTAGAATAAGCGGATGTATAATAGATATAGTTTAACATTTAAATTGTATTTTTTAAATTGGCTATTACTTTATAAATAAACATTTTTACAACTTGAATACAATGAATAAAACAAATAGTAAAATCTCTTGTGATAAAAATGAAAGTTTTATTAATTGATATTGTTGAATAGCACTGTTGATAAAGGTTATTAGTTTCATTCTAGTTAAAGAATTTTTATGGAAATGCTTTCTTTTTAAATAAAGTGTATGTAACATAGTCTAATTATTATTACAAAATACTACATTACCGCAGTGATTCCAAAAATAGGTATCACATATTTTTGAAATCACTGCTGTGATTTTAAAAATAGGTATCACCTATTTATGAACCGTCTAAAAAAAGAGAAACAAATAAAAGAAAAAAGGTTTAAAAAATCATTCTTAACATTTCATCTGTATTAAATGAATTTTAAGTTAAAAGGATATTTTTAGATTATTATTTGTTAATGAATTTATATACAAATTGCATTTGGCATATACAAATGTCAAATTTTTTTTTTTTTGTCTATTGACATAAAATATTTCTTAAATTGCCACAAAATATAAGGGGCACATTGCGTCTCCTAATATATAATAAAAATACAGTATTTGAAAAAAAAGTTTGAATTGGTTAAATTTCATTTATATTGCCGTGGACAAAGAAGCATCACCATCACCAGTCAAGGATGTGCAACTGCACTCTATTGCTGACCAAGCTTTTATTATTTTTGGGACAACTTAACTACAGCTTTTCAAAATTATGAATGCGCTAAATTAAGTGTAAGGTAATTAAGCAAAAAATCGCTTTTAAAGATTGTATAAATAATTATACTGTTAAAAAGTGGGTTTTTTTTACAATGAGTATAAATAATTTTAAAACAATTTGTACAAATAATTTTATAAACAACAACGAAAACAATTTTTTTGTTTACACTTTTTTTACATTTTAACAGTATTTCTTTTTTAACAATGAATTTAATTTTTAAAAAACCATTTGTATTCTACTATTCATCTTTTAATAAAAGAAGAGGGGTTAAAAGATGCACAACTTCTAGGTCAAATGCTAAAACTTAGGACTGGATTGCGAGTTAACTAAACAGGAATACCAAACACCGAGAAATGAAGCCATTCATTTCTCAGTGTTTTGTATTCATGCTATTTAAAAATCCACTTACCTCTGCATAACTAAGAAAAGTATCTGGTTGTAAAGCAATGTAGGCATCCATAGTAATTTAATAAAAAATTATCACTTTTATATAAAGTGAGACCTCGCATTAGTACTCATGCCAAATTTAGAAAAAATATTTAGAATTATCAAAACAGGTTGTTGCTTTGCAAAATTAGGTAACCATAAAACTAGATATCCATAGCAACTAAACTTAAAATATCACCCTCATTACCAGGGCAAATCTCATATCAATGCACATAGTAAATAGTGAATATATTAATAACATAATAAATATGCTACTACAATAATTCGGTTGTTGCTATCCAAAATTAGATATCCATAGCAACCAAATATAAAATTATCATATTGATAAGAAGCACAGACCTCATATTGGTACTCATGCCAAATCTAGTAAATTATAACCCAACATTTAATTAGTTATTAGTTTTGTCCTTTCAAGTGAATTCTGGCCTTCTGTGTGTAGATAGATATATAGATAAACATACCTTTATGTTTGTACTTAGAAAGAAAGGGCACTGAGTAATTTTTTTTTTATGAAAAGGGGTCAGTAGACCAAATAAATTTAAGAAGCACTACATTCTAGTAACATTATTCAGGAATGTCACTTCAATTTCAAAAACAGACACTAAAAATTTTTTTTTGTAGTTATATTTATATAACTACAAAAAAAAAATTATATTTTACAATAACATTTTATATTACAGTAATATTATTTAGGCATCATACTCAATATAAAAAAAAAAAAAAAAAAAAAATTAAATTAAAATCATGTAAACAACAAGAAAAGTATACTTATTTACCTTCTAAAATATTTCGAAACGCAACTTCTACATTTGTAGAATCCAAAGCAGAAGTTTCAATAAATGAGAGTTCATTTTTTTCTAATAAATAAAAATTAAATAAATTCAAATAAATAATAGAATCCAAAGCAGAAGTTTCAATAAAAGAGAGTTTATTTTTCTCTAAAATAAATAATTTCAAAAACAATTTGTATCTGTATTAAATTATTAAAACAAAGTTTAAACACATTCAATACATTTCTTAATGAAACAATGACAAGGCTACCCAGAAAAGGTGTGCAGTCAGTAACTTTGTTCATCCGCATTTAAAATAACTTTTTTTAAGATAACTTGACTGCATTTTTATAAAGCACTTTAAGCAAAATAAAGCTATACAAAACTACAGAGAATAAAACAGCAATACTTGAAGAAAGAAAAATACTATATGAAAAAGAAAATCTAAATAAAATAAACTAAAAAAACCCTGAAAAATAATAATAAAAAATTTGTCTAAAAAAAAAAATTATTTGCATCTTTTGTCAGTCAGTATATTAAGGAAATACGTAATTATCTGCACTAGAATGTTGCTGCTAAACTTTATTGTTTTTATAAATGTACAGGAAAAGGAGAAAACTAAATGATATTTATTTGTAAAAATTATTTACTTTTTAATAAGTTTTTCATATAAAATAATAAAAAGTCATTAATACTAATGTTCAAATTTAAAATATTTGGTTGTTTTCACAATCCCCATCAAATAAGTCTGCACTTTCCTTGGATTATCCAAACTGTGCATTTAAACCTGATAGTTTATTTCCTGATGAACTATTGTTATTGATGATGCTCCAAAAGCTGGCTAGTGTATTGTTAATTTACTGAATTTTTTCAACAAAACTTTTTCTAAAGTTTTTAAGTTCATTTTTTAAAACATGTTCATCTCTAGTATTTAGATTAGATATTGGGCAATATAAAAGAAACAACTTCAGACAGACATTGAATGTGGTAAATATATTTTTATAAAAGAAACCATACTACTTTTTACTTAAATTGTTCATCAAAATTGATCAATTTATTGCAATGTAATAAATGGAGCTTGGAAAAAAACAAAAAACAAACAGATTAGAATTAGATGTGAGAGAGAAGAAATGAGTACTAAACTTATTACAAAATCAATGAAAACTGTTCATTCATGAAAATGTGATTTTCTTAGTCTAGAAGTTATAAAAGTTAACAATGTAAACACTGTCATAAAAAAATGGTATAAAATTTATGCAAAGCATAAAGACATCATTCAAAGCGAAACTTAAATATTGGGGTCTGCTAAATAAATTTTAAACGCTTTTTCAAATAAAACTATTGTTTTGACTTATCACCAGATTTAATATTTTTAATATAAAAAACGTCAAATATAATAAACATAATATAATAAATGCCAAATAGAAAAAACGTCAAAAATACAACCGTAAAATAAAAAATACATAAGTTTTACAAAAATTTTTTTTCCAAAAAAAATGTATTTTTTAATTTTTCTTGTTTTTAATTATTAAACTTTTTTAAGTTTATTTAATTAAAATTTGATATTTAATTACAATTTAGTTTCCTTGCTTTAGTATTTCTTTTTTTGTAGATAAGTTTAACTTTTTGATGCCAAACTGCTGTGGTTAGTTTGTCTAAATAATTTATTTTAAACGTGAACCAGCAAGAAATACGGCCGCACATGCTACCTGAAAAGGCTTGCTTGTAACATTTTTTTAAAAAACAGCACCAATTGAATCCAAATGTTTGCTTCGACTAACTGACAAATGTTTGCTTCCAAATGTTTGCTTCGACTAACTGATTGGTTTCTTCAATAAAAAATCAGTTTCTTATAAAAATGCCATTATGAAAAAATAAATTGATAATATTGTCACAAGTCTTTTCCTTAGTCAATATTATCTCTTCCTATTTAAGCTATTATTTAAAATTCAGTTTATAATATAAATATTTTTAAAAGTACAATTGAAAAAGTAAAACACTATTTTAAATGTTATAACTATTTTTTTTATTTTCCACTAACTCTATCTATCTATCTATATATATAAAATTATTTTTTGTTTATGCAACACAATGATCGCAACAAGTGACCAACGGAGCCATCCAGTTTCATAGACCTGAGAGATGTGATAATAAAAACAGTTAGAAGATGGTGTTATTGAATAAAAAATAAAAATCATAAGAAAATATAAAATGAGTGATAAGACTTTTGTAAAGGTAAAGAACGAAGTAAATGCTCAGAGGGCAGGGAGAGAACAAACTAACACTCTAACCACTCTGTATGTAGATCATATGTAACAAAGAAAAAATATTTGATATACTGATTTTGAAGACCGTTGATGTCTACAGGTGGGATGGTGTAGTGTATTAGTATGTACCGTTTGTCGTCTAGTATGGTCTCGTTATGTTTCCATTCACTTTCAAATCGGGTGAATAAAAAGCTAAACACACTCACTTCTTGCGCTTATGGGCTAGCACATCAGAGCCAGACGTGAGACCTACAGAATGGATTTCAATTGATCGAATGCACACATTAGTCACCGTAGGCCACAAGCCATCACTCTTAATCAAAAGAGCTACTGCCCTGTGCTGGTGTGGAATGATGTGCTATGAAGTGAGATTTCAGATCCGAGCACATAGTCAGCAAGCGCTGATCCGACGTGCATTGTGAAACTTACAACTGAACGTGTGCGTGAGTGTCAGCGTAGTCATTAGGTTATTGAGCGCCATAACCACATCCAGCGGGATAGCCTAATGTCCGTTTTGTCGTTGCGGCGTACATTGGAAAAAGTTGGGGCTCACCAGCCACAAAGAATAAATTTTTTTGCAAATGCGACACAATGATCGCAAAAAGTGACCAATGGAGCCGTCCAGTTACGTAAAGCTGGGAGATGTGAAAATAAAAACAGATTGAAGATGATGTCATTTAGATAAAAAAACATAAATTAATGTAAAGATTATTTAGTAGGAGGAATAAAAGTTAGCAACTCAGAAAAAGAGGAATAAAAACTCACACTCTAGTCATCTTTTAGCAAATGATGAAACAATGATCTATGAGTAAACAAGTCAATAAAAATTCGCTGGTTTATAATGGTATTCATAACTAAAATAATTGCACCATACAAGTGTCTAATAAATGTGGTACTATATATGTTCTAAACTCTAGATAAAAAATTGAGAACTGATAATCACCTGTGTAACACAAAAATATATAAATGTCGTTAATGTAACAAATTCATAATAAAAAGCTCACAAAGCGCAAAAATACATGGGTTTAATTCTATCTATCTATCTATATATATTGTATGATATTTTGTATTTGCAATAAAATACAAAAAACTCTAGTACGTATAAGAGTGCTCAATAATAAATAAATAGGATTTATTTATATTATTTAATAGAGCATTATATTAATTTATAAAAATAAAGAAAACAACTTTTTATGGTACTAATAGTTTCATGCCTAAAGGCAATCATCAGCCATGTAATACAAAACAAGAAACAAAAAAAACCGTTAAAATATAAAGTTACAGTGGAGTGCGCTCCGCCGTCAAAACAAAACAAAAAGATAAGAAAAAACTAAAAACGGCTGCCTAATCACCCGTATCGAAATTCGAAAGGAGGAATTTGCTTTTATGTCTACATTTAGATACTAATTCATTCCTCTTATTTAATAAGTTATCATAGGTGTACGATATTATGAAATACTTTTCGTATAGACATAAGTTGCATCGCTTTATTGTCGGATTGTTAGATCTACAACGTTTTAAAATTTTCCATTTAATTGTCAGGTTTACTCCATTTTCTTTTAACTTCCATACTTCCTTAGACAACTCAGTATTGTTTTTATATTTTTCGATGTTAAAAGATTTTGTATGATTAGCGTATCTAAGTTTAAAAGCAGTTTCACTTACTCCAAAATACACTTTTTCAATCCCGTCTGGAGTGCCTGGATATAAAGTGGCTTGATACACTATGTTATTAACGAGGCACTGTTGATTTAAAGGGCACTTGCTTTTAGTAATACAATTGCAACTTTTATCTGATTCTGGGGGGATGTTTTTCATAATATGACGGTTATGAAAGTTAACGATTGATTTAATGTTTGGCATACAACAGTAACTCACCTTTAGAGTATTTCTATTAAAAATCTTGTGGTATTTATGGCCAACTGGTATTTCTATTAAAAATCTTGTAAAGTGTTTTTAAAGTGTTAAAAATCTTTAAAAGTATTTCTATTAAAAATCTTGTGGTATTTATGGCCAGTCTTTTGAATGATGCCATTAAATTTGCTGAGAATTTTGTAACCATTAAAAACGAAGACAAACATGGCTGATGATTGCCTTTAGGCATGAAACTATTAGTTCCATAAAAAGTTGTTTTCTTTATTTTTATAAATTAATATATATATATATATATATATATATATATATATATATATATATATATATATATATATATATATATATATATATATATATATATATATATATATATAATTATTATGCATATTATTGCATAATATCTCTTATATTCTGTATTAAATTATATATAATAAGTAAAGTTGTCAATGAATAAATGGATAGCTTGGGCGAAAACCCAAAAAAAATGCTTATCTAAGGAATTTTTATGTCACAATCAACACTTGCTATGTATATTTCTTGTAACATTACATAAGGTTATGAGCATATGCTTGTAATAAGTATAGAATCAAATTTTGTATATAATAAGCAATTTACTTAAATGAATAGAAGCTAGTTGAATGAATAGTTTTTTTTTAAATAAAATATTTAAAAACAAACTTATAAATCATCAGTGACTAATAATTTGTAACTGCTTAAGCGACCACATGATGTTACATATTTTCAAACTAACACACTTATAGACAAAAACAACATGTGATCAATAAAAAAAAATAACAGGTGTTTTAAATAAAACTTTGCTTCTTTTGAGCACCAGGTTGACATTAAAAAAAAATATTTTATTATTAGGGACCAATCAAATTTTTCAAATTTTAAAGGCCATGTTACCTACAAAATAATAGAATTTAGAAAAGATTTTTTGCACACTACATTAGAGTACATCAATAAGAACATAATTAAATTTAACATAAAGTGTTCCGGAAATTTACAGAAAGTTTTTTTAACACCATATTGCATGTAATATTGAGTTAAGAGAGTGCAATTTTAACTTAAAAATTTTTTCTTTTTAAAAAAAGAATATTTAAAAAAGAATATTTAAAAAACAACTTTTTTCAACATTTTTTTATTTTGCATTTATAACTTACTTTGCAGAAAGTAGGGGAGGTTGGGATAGGGGAGAGATCGCACAACCTGTAAATTAGATCTCAGGATTAGATTCATAGTCTTAAAAAACTGAAATAACTAAAATTTTACAAAATTTGTAAATTAATGAAGTCTTTATTAAAAAACTTAAGCAGCTCACCTGCAAAAGCTTTAGCTTCTTCTGTTGGAACAGCTCTTAGATGGCGCAGATCTGATTTATTTCCAACCAACATAATAACTATATTTGCATCAGCATGATCTCTAAGTTCTTTCAGCCACCTCTCAACATTTTCATAAGTTATATGTTTTGCAATATCATAAACTAACAGAGCACCAACAGCACCACGATAATAACTAAAATAAAACCATCAGCTTCATTTCAAAATGAAAAGCAATAAACTTTATATAAAAACATTAACATACAATGCTAATGTATGAAGAAACAAATTTTAGAAGTTTAAAAATTTATTAGAAAATACCAGATTGCTTTTTTATCAAAACAATTTATTATTTTATAAATATTTTGTGTCGCGTTTATTCTTATTTTCATATTTAAAAAGTTCCTTTGTTACTCTACATCTTTGTAAAGCATTTTTTTCTATTTTGAAAAGATAAAAAATTGCACTAAAATAACTTCAAGCAAGAAAACAGGTTGAGATGAGAAAATAATTTTGTAATTGAAACATAAATGGATGAGTTAGATACTTAAAAATTGTTTTTGTGTTAAATTGAAGATTAATTGAATAAATTTTAATTACTGTTTATTAAAAAAAATAATTGAAGTTTTGAAAAGTTTCTATTATTTTCACTTTGATTAACCCTCCATTGGGCGCGCTTGATTAAATTGATACATGTCAATCAATTTTATCTGGTATGAGTTTTTGAGTAATTACTCAAAGTTCTCCTTTTTAGTAGCTTCATTTTTTTCTTTCTTTTATTGTTCTACATCATCAAACATGTTTAAATCACTTTATATGAATTGATTTTTATCATTTTGTTTAAATTGATACATTGCGCCTTTTTATGTTACATTTTATAAGTTTGATTATAATAAAAAATATTATATCTGGTAAATACATTTTTAAATTTGTAGGCATAATTTGATATTATTTATTGTTCAAATCAAAGGGAGTGTATTTTTTTTATATAATTAGCTTTTTAGAATAGTCGCTCAAAATTTGTATCAATTTGATCAATGCGCCTCTTTTATTGAAAATAGCAATTGTGATGGAATTTTTAATTATTGTAAATATTTTATATTTTTTAAAGATTATTTAAGCAGTTTATAAAAAAAAAAAAAAAAAAAAAAAAAAAAAACTAAACTGGCGAGTTTTTATGCATATCAATTTGATACAATACGCCTTCCCGAGTTACAAAAAGTTACATAAAGACTTTCAGCAATTTTTAATGTTTTTCAATTTAACTAAAGAATCATTAAAAGTTGTGCAAAATTTTATTTATAATAAAATTGTACAATATTTTATAAATATTTTCATAAAGATTTCAACCGACTTTTAATGTGTTTTCAAATTTAATTAAAGAATCATTGAAAGTTTTACAAAATTTTATTTATATTATTTAACTATAAGATTTTATTTATATGAAATAAAAAAGTTATGAATTTTTTTTTTTTTAATTTTTTTTAAGGGACGACTATAAACAGCAATGGTCTCTTTAATAAACTTTATATAAGAATCATTAAAGTTAATTTACTCAAAAAGTAAAAAGATTTTGTCGAGAAGAAAAAAAAAAAACTTTTTTGAAAGCCCTTTGAATTAAATAACTTCCTGACGGGCATTTGTTTTTAAAAGTTACGATCTAAATGTATTTTAAATGTCTTTTAAAGATTAATGTTTAAAAGATGTTTAAAAGACGTTTAAAACACATTTAAAACGTAACTTTCAAAAACAAATGCCCGTCGGGTTTGATCTTTTCTTATGTTTTTATATTTTTAACATCATTTGCTACTTCATTATTTAACTAAATAACAAATAAATCACTGCCAGTGATTTTTTTACAAAAATATAAATGAATTATATATATATATATATATATATATATATATATATATATATATATATATATATATATATATATATATATATATATATATATAAACAAGAGTATGTATATTTCATGTTAAAATAAAAAAAAATTAAATAACTTTTTAAATAAACCATTAAATTATTTTTCTTTTGTTTATGTTTTATGAAAAAAATTGGTAAGAATCTTTTGTTTTAACTTTTTAAATGTGCGCATTTATTAAACAATTATTAGATGTAAGTTGTTACTTTATTTAAAAAAGGTTTTGCTTAATTTTATATTGTAAAAACATTAGTAAATATAAAAGATTCAAAGTTATTAACTAAGATAATCTTATCGCTATAGTTTATTATTTATTTCAGTTAAATTTCAGATTTATTATTTTTATTTTAGTTTTAGTTAAGTATTTTTTATATTATTTTTTGTTATTTTATTTACAAAGATTTGTTTGCTTCTTTTACAATTTTTAAAATATATACAAATTTTTAAAACATATTACCAGCTGTAGTCAAATTTTCAAAATCAAATAATATTTGCGTGGTCATATTATGACACGAAATTGCACGCCTTCCTGGCCAAGCCTGGGAATATATATATGTGTGTGTGTATATATATATATATATATATATATATATATATATATATATATATATATATATATATATATATATATATATATATGCCCATCAGTCTTCTCTGTTTGAAATTTAATGCAATTAAATGTGGATGGCCATTTTTAGGTTAAATGGTTTTATATATAGTAAAATGGGGTCAAATGGAATAGTTGAGGATTTTAATTATTTATTTTTTACGAATAAATTTTTTTCTAAAGTTGTAGAGAATATTGAGCTGTATTTGAATAAATGAAAATAAAAAAATAAATTAAAGTTTTTTATAAAACTTTACTCGATTAAAAAAAAAATTAATTCCATTCTTTTCCTACTTATGGGGAAAATAAAATAAGCAAATGTACATGTTATAAAAACAATACTTTATTAAAGAACGAAAAGCAATCAACAATAACAATTAAAAAAACAATCAATAATAGCAATTAAAAATCAATTAAATAAAAAAACTTTTTTATTCTTGTGATGAAGTTGAGTCCTTTAGGGGTACTATAGGTTGAGTTGAGTTTTCAGTTGTGTGCAATAAAACTCAGCGCCTTTTACGTATCGCTTTGGTATGCATGTTTGACATAGCCAAACCTTGGGATTTAACAAGAGAGCAACTAGCGTATTTCATTCATTTATTAGAATCATTTAATAAAAGAAGTAAGTAAAAGTCATTCATTTAAATTCAGATAGAAAAATTTGTTCATTGAAATTAATAAAAAAATTTATAGCTGGAGTTTTATTGGTCACTTGTGAATTAATTTATAAAAAAAAGCCGTATTTAAGAATTGCTTCACTTATTATTAGCGTATTTCATTTAACCTCATAATTCTCCTTTTCCGCTTTTTACTCATAACTTTTTTTCCTAAGTAGCAAATTTTATATTGCTACTTAGAAAGATGCACCATAAAACATTTTAGGTTCAATAATATCAAAGTTAATTTCCGAGAGTTTAAAGTTCATTTTTCAAAATAATAAAAAAAAATCTTATTAGGCATTCTAAAACTTAACAATTTGTAACAATATTTTTTTTATTAAAAATAAAATTGGACATCACCTTACTCAAAAAAGTATTCTCTACAACAGCGAAAAATATTTGCAAAAAGATTATTCAATAATTAAGAGCAAAAGAATAAACATTGTCATAACTATTTCATTCAACCCGCTATTTCATTTTACCCTGTTTTACTCTAAATATCAAACAATATATTAAAAATAAAAATTGAAAATGTTTTATTTAAAGACAAATGTTTTAAAAAACAAATATTTTTTTATAGTTCTAAAACAGAAATAAAATAATAATAATAAAAAAAGAGAAACTAAACAATTTATTTTATTTCAAAATAAATTAATTACATTAAAAACAGCAACACGAACAGTTTAATTAAATTGTAAATAAGATAATTAAAATAAAAACAGCAAAATGAACATTTATAAGTAAATTTTAAATAAAATTATTCATACATAAAATTGTTTTGGCAATTTTTTATAAAAGTATTTGATAAACAAAAAAGACTTATTGGAATCAAAAAAAAAGTTTTTACTTTTTATGCAAGTTTATATGACATTTTTAAATGAACACAAACTATGTTTACATATATCTTATATAACTAAAATAATTTAAAAAAAAATATAATAAAATAAATAAAAAACAAAATCTTTTAAAAAAACCTTTGTTATAGTTAAAAGATTTGTTGTTTAAAATTAAATTTAATGACGTGGTAATTTTAAATATGTTAGCGACGTCACTTAACTTTTAGCAATATAAAAAACATTCTTTAAATTCATGCAAATATAATTCCATATAAAATATAAGTATAAAATATGTATAAAATACGAGTAAGCAATATTGATAAAGTTCACAACTATAATTAGTTATAAAACAATGTACAACTTTATATGTACACATCTAGCATGTAGATAAGTAAAGCTTTTATTTAAAAATGAATGTTTACTTACGCACTGGTTATTGCTCTGTACCTTTCTTGACCAGCTAAAGTTAAAAAGTATTTATATCAGGCAGGTTAATTACAATACAAGCAACAAATTTTTAAAATTGTACACTTTTAATTTAGGAGCCATTACTATTACAACCTTGAAATTACAGATTTATTATACATTAAACATTTTATGTACATAATTAGCAATTTTGCACACCATTGTTACAAAAGTTAGAGTAATTATCGATCACTTTTTATAATATTATAGACATTTCAAGATCAAAAAATGACTTCGGCCTCTGTATGTAATAACTCAACTTTGTATGTAAATATTTATACTGTTAAATTGATGTTACATTGTGTTCAGGTATAAATACTATAGAGAAAATCAGTAAATTTTTGAAGGGAGTCTTCCATAAAGTACATATAAAGGTATGGGAGCAGGGGTCAAATATTTGACTCCAGTGATTTTTAGCTTTATTTAGAAAAATCACTTGCTTCAAGCGGGAATACCTTTATTATACTTTATTATCTTTATTGGAGGAAAATTTGAAAATTGCAAGTCTTCTTTACATATAATTCTTTATGAAACATAAAGAATTAATTAATAAACCCTTAAAACAAATGTTGGTGTAAAATATTTTTCCCTTTTATTTTCCTAAATAATAAAACGTAAAAAATTTATTTTTTAATATTTTTTAGACATGGTTGGGTTATGCAAAAATGGGTAGTTTTATATTAAAGCCATATGATTAGATAAAAAATCAAGATTTTAAACGTTGCAACTTATTTGGGTTTAGACAGTTAACAAAAAAAAAATTTAATATATATTTTTTTAAAGTTAATAAAAAAAATTCACCTTTTCCGCTTGAAAACTTTAACTTAATACTTAAAAATAAATAAACCGCTGGAATGTTTTAGTTTCATTTATGTGTACATATTTTTATTGAGGCATTTCTTGTTCTACAAAAAACAGTGTCTTTTAAGCAGTTTATTTATGTTGATTTTATAAAATTATTTTTCAAATAAAATAGCAAGAAGTCAACTTAAAACTTTTTTATTTTTGAGTTAACTCTTATTTTCTTGTAAACTATCTATTTCAGCTTAAAACAACTTAACAACAAAAATTGCTGATACCTATCAAATATGTATTTATATTTTGTATTTGTGTTGTATTTCTTAAAATTTCTTAAACATTTGAATTTGATTGAAAGGCATTTGAAATTTTATAAACAAGGTTAACCAGTGTTTTTTTTTCAAAATACAAAGAGGTTCACTCTTATTGTTATTTTAAGCACTAAAATAAATTAAAATTTGTTTTAGTAGGATATTTGTTAAGACTTTTTTTTAGCCTAAAGTACAAATATTTGTATTTGGAAAATGCTGTTTGCATATATTTGTACTTGAATTTGCCTTAGAACTAATATATTTGTTTTTGATCAGGTGTGTATAAGAAAGAGAGAGGCGTCCTAAATCAGTGGTTATACTAGGTACATACTTGATGGATGCTCTCTAGTTATTTCTCTATGTTGATGCTCTCTAGTTATTTCTTAGGTCTCTAGTTAGTTCTTAATTGTTCTAAACTTACTGCTTACTTTAAAAAAGAAATATTTATTTCTTTTTAAAGTTTTACTACCACTAAATAATATTATTAACAAATGTTATTAAATAAAGAGAAAATGAGATAATATTCTTTTTGTTTTATTTTTTTTTCTACTAAAAACATAAACTTCTAATTAGGACAACAAAATTTTAAGTTGATTCTTTTTATCAACAAAGATCCACAGAGCATATCATATACACCTGTAAAATACTTCTTTCCTTATTATTTAATCCCTTTATTATTTACAATAATAAAATATACCAGTATCCCAAATTTGAGCTTTTATAACTTTTCCTCCAACTTGAATGCTTCTTGTAGCAAATTCAACACCAATAGTAGATTTGGATTCAAGATTAAACTCATTGCGAGTGAAACGCGAAAGCAGATTTGATTTTCCTACGCCAGAATCACCAATTAATACAACTAAAACAAAAATATAATCATTTTTACTTTTAGACTTCAAAAACTAACAACAAATTTTTTTTTGATTAGATAACTTTTTGGTTCATTACAATCAACTTACATATATCAAATTCAAAATATTAAAATATGAGGAAAACAAAAACTTGAAAAAACAAACAAACTTTTACAGCAACAAAAATAATAAACTTAACAAAACAATCCAGGTAATATAAATTCAAGATAAGATATAAAACAAATAAGATATATAAACATAATAAACATAACATATAGTGATTTCCCTGGTTATCCGGATTTTGTTCGAATATCAAATATCTATTTTCGAATAATAAAAACCGACTTAAAAATTTTACGAAATTTTATAGAAAGTAACAACGTAAGTATGACAATCATTGTTTGACAAATGTTAATTTATCAAAGATTATAATAAATTTCTTTTATTAATTTAAATGTTAATTTAATCAGTTTTGTTTGATAATATATTTTTAAAACAATTTACAAAAGAAACCTCAAAGATTTATTTATTACTTTTGCAACTCAAGCAATACATTTTTAAGAAAGTTTCTTCAGAATATTCTGGAACTCTAATTTGCTTATTTAGCGTATTTTTTGAACCAATAGAATTTGTTTATTCGTAGATTTGGTGGTATTTTAGTGTTAGCAAATACTCTTTACATTATCTTTCCGCAACAAGTTGTTATGAGAACATTCAAGTTTATCTGTGTTTCCATCTATGTCCGCATAACAATAATTTTTAAATATATACACACTAAAAAAATTAACTTCATAATATCTCATTTTTCCAAATCAAATGTTTTTATATGAGAGAATGTTTTTAAAACATCCGGTGATATAAAACATTTAAACTATACTTGTAAATTATTCCTACCTTTTTAAATTATATAATTAAAATAGTATATTATATTATAATAAAATATATATATATATATATATATATATATATATATATATATATATATATTTTTCCATGTTTTTTTATAAATATCTAATATAGGACTATATACAATAGCTGTCTTGAAAATGTACACTTTAACATTAATGTTTAAAAAATTATTTTAAAACGCTACGTTCGTTGAAATTTGAAGATCCCTTATTCAGAAAGCGTCACTAATTTACCCAATAGTCGGTTAACCGCAAATTTATGGGAACTGTTATCCGATTTTTGAAACGGATAACTGGCGAAATCACTAATAACATATCAAACAAATAAGATAAAATATCAAACAAATCACAACATTTTGTCACACAAAAAAACTTATAAAACTGCACACTATAAATTAAATTCCTTTTCCTGTTTTACAACAGTATTTAGTTTACAATAAATATTGTTGATTGAAGATACAAATAAAGATACTATACCTAGTATTATTTAAATTTGGGAGTCAAATATCAGTGGTGGGCAGGTAAGGTGTGCCATTGCACTCTATACCTGACCACGCAAATGATTTTTTTTTTGAAAACCTAACTGTGGCTTTTTAACGCTTAAAAAAACACATCAAAAGAATGAAGAATATAAACAAGCTTAAACAATAAAAAAATTAAAGAAATCTAACAGAAGAAAAAAAATATATATATATTAAAAAACTATAGCTCTAAAAAAAAGTCAACTAATATAAAACTGAAAAATTTAAACTCTAGTAGAAAATCATTTAACTTTGCTTATAATTACATTAAGGTTGAATTTTAAATTAAAATATTGATCTTTTCTTATTTTTCTATAATATTAGAATAAATATATACTTTTTAATATTCATCATTATTTTATACTTAATGTTTTTTATTTCAAACAACCATTAAAACTTGTTACCTAATTTGAAAGTGATTATTGTTGTAAATGTTTTGTAAACTTTCTAATTAAGTGTTTCTATAATACTAAGGTAACATAAAAACAATTAGAAAATTTAAGAAACAACAAAAAAAACTTTGTTATGTTTTCCACTATATTAACTTTATGAATTAAAAAAAAAAGTTGATTGAAACACAATCGTCATTGTCATTGCATAATAAAATAAATAAAAAAATTGTTTTAAAACATTTACATTCATTATTAAAAAAAAAAAAAGTACTTTAAAATAAATTAACTTTTTACTTAATATTTTATGATAATTTATTTAATAGCGTAATAAAAAAAATATAAAAGTGTTTAGCATAACATAAAAACATTTTATTAGAAAGTTTATAAAGCATTATAAAAAATAATTTTGTTATGTTTTTGACTATTAAATTTATATATTTAACCAAAAGTTTTTTGAAACGATCGTTTTAACTGTTTATAAAATTAATTTTATAAACAATGAAAATTATTGTGATATAATCAATGTAAAAATTGTTTTAAAAACATTCACATTCGTCATGGAAAATACACTTTTTAACTATATATCTTTCGATAAATTTAAGAAAATGTTTTAAATAGAACACAATCATTAAAAAACATTTTTTACTCTATTACTTAATTTCAGCCCATTTCAAAAATGTTTTAAAAAATCTAAAAAGCTGTGGTCAAGTTGATGCAAAAACAAATTAAATGCATGGTCAAGAATAGTGTGCTATCGCACGCTTTTCCTGTTTTTATTTAGTAATAAAATGTTATTCTTCTCTGGGATTCTAGGGGCTTCTTTGCCTTTTTGGTTGTAATAAAATTTAATCTTTTTTTATTAGCAAGACAGAAAAAATTTAAAAACTAAAGATTTTTTAAAATTCTTTTATTAAGTATACAATTTTATTAATACTGCCTTACAAGTTCTTTAATTCTTTATCATATAATTTCAGTATCTTATGAAGAAGAAAAAAATATGAAAAAATGTTTTTGAGATAAACGCTATTTTGCCCATGAATAGAAATTTAATTTACAATGTCATAGTCATGCAAGATTTTATTTTTAAAAATAATTATTTATTAAATGATGCTAAATATATCTAATTCCAGCAATTGGACAACTTTAACAATTATGTGAGTTAACCTTCAAATAGCAAAAATTTGTATGCAAACTATTTTTGTAAGTAAGCAAAATATTTTTGAACTTTTACAATTCTCAATCACTTAATTTGTCAAAGCTGTATATAAAAAGACTTCAAATTTATTTACCTCTTCGCAGGTAAGTGGACTGCCACAGTCAAATAGGCTACTACTATTATAATTTTTAAAATTGTTTTTAAACATAAACAAAGTTATTGCATAAAACTCTAAGACATAAAATGTAACGGCATAAAAAATTGAGCATGGTACTTACAGATATGAGGTGAAAATGAAACTTAAAACTTGCCTACAGAGCAAGCACCGTACCCTTACTACCCACTACTTATTAAAAAATTAATTTTTTAAAAAAGGGATAGAGGAGGACAAAAACTAAAAATAAAACATGGTTATTTATTCAAAATTGGAATTCAAAATTCAAAAATTAACAAAAACAGTTGTTTTAAACTATCTTATTTACTAGAAATAGTATACCGATAATATTATTTTTATACAAAACATTTTTCTATATTGTTAATTAACGCAAAGAACAAATAAAAAGATTGTGATATCTGGAAAAACCTCTGGATTTCAAATTCAATGTTTATTAAAAACTGTTAACAGTTTATATTGAAGCAGAGATGAACCCAGACCTGTTTTACCACTGTTTAATATAAATGAAGCAGAGATGAACACAGACCTGTTTTACCAGACCTGTTTTACAGCAGAGATGAACCCAGACCTATATACCCCTGAAGCGGTATAGACATTAAAAAAATAAAAACCAAAAAATTATTTTTAATTGTTAATTTTTCTTTTGCTTTTTCATTAAAAATAGAAAAAAAAAATTTTAGTTTTAAATGCAGTATATAAATAATTTTCAGTTTATTTTAGCTGCCTTTGTAACTGTCTTTTGTTTACTTAAATTAAATAACTTATTGCAAAATTTTATAATAGAATGTATAAAAAATTTGATTTTTCAAACGATAGAACGATTTTGAAATAACGATTCAGAGTTAAGTTAACTTTAGCTTTTTGGCAATTAAAAATTCACTACTTTTGATAACAAATGAACAAAAGTAAAAAATTTCAGTTTTAATAACTTTTGCGTAAATTTAATTTTTGAATGAATGAACATTTGATCTTTAGCTTGCTATTTTAGTTAACATGAGAAAAACGAAAAAACAAAACACAAACTTTTTCTGAAAGATTCGTTTCCTTTCAATATTCATTTTGACTTTTAAAATGATAAAAATAGCGATTACAATAACTTAATTAAAGTTTTATTAACATCTAAAATAACCCATAGTAAATGTAACTATTTTGCAACATTTAAATTGCAATATTTAAATGTTACAAATTTTTTTACATAATAAAGGTAAGGGCACTTGCCAAAATATTAACACAAAATTTAATATCTAATATAAATAAACCTTTTAATTAACCTTACCATTCTCCAAAAAATATACAAAAATGTCACTTAGTCTACTATTTTAACTATTACAAATCGAATGTACAGTGCAATTAACACTTATTAAATATTAGAATTAATACAATAGTTAGCAGTTTATAAATATATATAATTATATATATAAAGCTATATTAAATAGTCTATTAAATAAATCAACTGTTTCTTAGCTACTTTCTAGATGTCAATTAACTTTGCTTTACAAGGTGCTAGAATGATTTCAAGTGTATTTGCCGAAATATTTCATTCTACAATCATTCATTTCAACAGACTGTTAGGCAGTTTTTTAATATTAATTTTGTTAACTTGCTCTTTGTGCATCTGAGCAAACATGATGTTGTTCAGGTGATTACCTCAAGTTAGTGACCTAATCCATAATTTTATTCTCATTACACTAATGCTTCTTTCAAATGATGTCTATGAGGCATGGTGTAGTAAAGCTTCATTAATTTGTGTTTGTTTATTGGTGACTTTTGCAGCTGGCATGGCATCGAAAATATATGCAATTGTGGCCACTCTGAAAACACTTTATATTTAGATTGATGCAATAGCATTGTACAGGTTAATAATTTTTGGTAGCCCCTTTATCTCAACTTTTAGTTCCAAGATGTCAACATCATTAAAAAATGACATTCCAAATAAAAACGGTGGTGAATCTTGTTTATTCACCAATGAAATCAAAACTTCTATATTTTTTACAGCTGTAAATCCACTCATGCAATATATCATTTTGGATTTGTTCGAAAAAACAACACACTTTGGATATGCCCCAACAACTGCAGTAGTGATGATATTGCAAATGTATCCTTAACAATCTGCAAGCTGCAATGTGCCATGCAATTAAAATATTGTGCTTGCTGTCCAAAAATATTTTTGAGTTTTGTTGCCAAGCATTTCATAACTGATGTTCCATCAAAGCCAATTTCTGCAACTTTTGCATATTCCAAATTAAACCTCAAAGGATATCTTCAATATATATCACCAAGGCATCTGAAGAAAGGTCGTTGACACAAATTCTTTATTCACTTCATAACTGCCACTGGAAGTTTTTATATTTAAAACATTTGTTCCTTCTTAGTAATATCTAAAGATTCATCTGCAAGTACTGATTAGAAATATTTATCTTTGATCAGTTCAAAAATCTGCCTTCATGCTTCTATGATGAGAACTTGTTCTTGCTCTTGCAAGATGTCATGAGATAAAACATGATGGTTTTCAATCATCAACAATTCTAATGCCTTGTCACCTTTACTCTTATTCAAATTAAATTGGTAAATATTGGACTTAGAGCTATACCCTGTCAAAGCAATGTTTTCAATGTTATGAAATGAGCTAGCAAGCCTTTTCTTTGAACTGCTTGCTTCTCCATGTACATCTGGTCAACTTGAGCATTAATTTTTGTAAACTTTATTTTTTCTTTCTGAATCTTTAGAACACATACAGCCTTACAAATACTGGAGTTCACATAATCTTTTAGTGCTGCTGCAGATTTGTTCCATGTTCTAAAATCTTTCCTAACTTCATGCTTGAACACTCCACCAAAATATGAATCATATTTTGTACAGGTTTCACAAAAGACAGCTTTCAGTAATCAGTCATAAAATAACCAACTAAACTTAAAATCACTTTAAAAATTACTAACCTTTGTAAAAGTTAGATGAACAGATTTACTAATATATAAATCAAAATTTTACAATTAAATAATATTAAATACGTTTATTAAATGCATATGTTTTTTTTCTTAGAATACAAGACATAAAACTATTTTATAAATTTTACAAATATTATGCAATTTAATAAATGTAAATATATTATGAACAAAAAATATCATTGTCACAACACCGATTTTAATTAAAGGAGGAGGAGAAGTGGGTGGGTAGGTGCGGGGAAGTCAAAAACAACCCCTAACCTTGCCGAAAAAAAGCAGTATCCACAAATCAACTCTGGATTCTTATTATTGCTATCACTGACCTCCAAGCAGCAAAAATTGCTAAATCTGAAAATAATTTAACACTGGCACAACTCAGGAAGGTGTACATGCTAGCTGTATTCACCTTACTACTAAAACTGGTTGTCAAGTTGAAGCGCTTGACGAGTTAAGTGGTGGCACATCAGAGAACTATGAGCAGCATATATGTCAACCCATAGAAAACTTAGCGAAAACTTATGCTCCTTTCCATTTAAAAGATTTTCAAAAATGTTGTCAAACTATTATTGGCAACATATCTAATACTATTTCCGATAGAACTGTTATAAACCACGCCACAATAAAAAAGTTAGTCTGGCATGGAATAAAACCTTCAATCAGTTAAACTGTCATCTTCATCCTCTAGAAACCTTTTCTAGTAGCTGTAGATCTGCACTTAAAGTAATAGAAGAAAAAGGAAAATTATTTGGTAGCGACAGCATAACTGGAAATAGTTGTAAATTAAATAAACTTAGGTACATAGATGGAAAAGGCAATCCTTAAGGATTTGTTTTATTTTTATTAAAAGAAAAACTTCCCAAAGGTTTACTTACTAGATACAGAGGAAATTGCTTACATATTTTTTTTCATATTTGTGGAATACTAATTCAACATTACAAAATTTTAAAAACATTTCTGACATCAGGTACCATTTCATTTGTTTGATTACGAGCCAGTATATCTACTGACTTTGCAAGCAATATTGCTAAACAAGAACTTTGTGCTGCTGGATTAATAGGAAAACTAGACCTTGGATCAATTTTATGTTTTAGCTGAAAATCAAATCTTTTATTTGGATTGTGTTGTTATTGTTAAAAGAGTCCTTAATATGGTTAATCTATGTCTAAAAAATCCATTAAAAATTATATCAAGATCACAAAATTTTTTTGATGAAAATGATCTTGTCTGGAAGGCTCTCATTGAATTCTGCCCTAAAGATGACAATATGAAAGCAATGATTTCTATTTTCTTGACTGCTATATCTGAAGCAATCAATAGGCAATATAAGAAATACTTTAGTATAAAACCCACTGAGCAAATGAAATTTGAGACTGAATCTGCAAGGCTACACAACACAGATGCTGAGGAAATGATGGGAATGTTTAGTGCAGCACAGAAATTTGCACCTATTGCAACTCTATGTTACCTTTCTTCAAGATGCACTAGAAAAAACAACGTTATAAACTATTTTAACGGTCTTCCAAAACATGTTAAAGAGTTTGTGATAAAATGGGCCATCAATTTTGCAACAAAAAAAATAAAAAGAGAGATTAATAGATTAAAGATGTCTGAAGTATATAAGGAGATGACACGCAGAGCAGGAGAAAAAATTCGAAAAAAAGATACAAAAGCAAGGAGAAATTTTGAACAAAATTTAAAAATAATAGATATAAGTGTTGAAACTTTTGGAATTGAGTTTCCAGACATTAGTGAAGCAAATTTTAATGATATTTTGAATTTCATGTCTGGAACTGCAATAGGAAAAAACATATGCTATATTTAGTATGAAGATACAAAAAAGGTAATATATAATAAAAAAATTGAAAAAATAAAGAAAAAAATACAGGATACATATATTGTTGCTTATTGGAACAAAGAAGATTATAATGATGCAATTGACTATGATATTCCAAAAGTTCAACTCACTTGTGATATTATACTTGGTGATCTCATGATGACATGAACATTTTTAAACTGATCACTTTTATTCATTAAACTTAAAAATAATAAAGTTTAATATACTTTTTATCATTTAGCTTTTACATATAAAACTTTCTATTGAGTTTTAAATTTTTTAATTTATATTCAGTTTTATATTTATAACTAACTATTTAAAACTTTCTATTGAGTTTTAAATTTTTTAATTTATATTCAGCTTTATATTTATAACTTAGTTATAAATATAAAACTGAATATAAATTTAAAAACTCAATAGAAAGTTTTATATGTAAAAGCTAAATGATAAAAAGTATATTAAACTTTATTATTTTTAAATTTTATGAAAAGTGATCAGTTTAAAATATGTTCAACACACTTTAAGCTTTATTTTAATATATAATTTTTTAGTCATGTTAAAAAAACTTAGAAGAATATACATTTTTTTGCAAAAAAAAAAAAAAAAAAAAAAAAAAAAAAAAAAATTGGGTCCAATTTTTCATAGCCTCTCCACACATAAAAAATCACACCTTAAAAATCACATAACTTTTGTAGTACTTTTGACCTACAGAAATAATTAAAATATTTTTAAAAAAATTCAAAAGAATAGGCATATATTTGTGTAAAAAATATGGTTTTATTTTAAATTTTCAAAATTATGTCACATCTTTATAATATTTATATTTTATTGAAAGCTTTTACTTATAAAAATAATAGCAAAAATAATTATAAACTACTTCCCTGCATTTTCATACAAAATCATGCATTTTCTTGACAAAACAATTTATATAGTACAATAACTTTTAAAATCATGTATGACTTGGACTTTTATTTAAACATCTCTATATTATTTTTGTCACTTTTATCAAATTATATTTTAAGAAATAAAAAGTACATAAAAATTAGCAATTTTTTTTAGCTGCTAGGTCAGTTAATTAAAAATAAATGGCAATTTATTGGCATATTATAATTCAATAGTAAAATAGGAAAATTAATGGCAAATTATATGAATTGAACGTACCATTGATATTTAAAATATAAATATTCTCTCTTATAATTTAGGGCACTAAATTCCTAATAGAATAATAATTTGGCTTTTTACCTTTGAATAAATAATCATACTCATCATCCTTCACAGTCATTTTGAAATTATGTTGACAAAGATAAAAGTATAAACAATATAATTGTATCGGTATATTACTAACGTCAATCCACTTTAATTACAAAAGCATATTAAAATAATAAACTTCAAGATAATGACAGCAAAAAATTATATATAGGAAAACGTCTTGAAAATAAAACTCCCAGATAAGGTTGGATAAATTATTTTAAAGTAACGGTCGCCATTTTCATTAGGAAAACTCTCTACCGAGACGCCCCAGTAAAGCCTGACGTCATTAAAAACGAACACGGATAGTTTGTAGAACCAAATTTGCTACTAAACTAAAATATATAAAGTAAAATAAGGTACAAACAGAATACCCTGGGAAATTTGACTGGAGAAAGAACTTTTTGGGAGATTTGAGAGATTATTGTTTTGAAGAGAACATTTTTCTACATTTCAAATTCCTTCCTCATCTTTAAAACTATAACAAAAATTTAATATAAAAAAAATCTTTTCACAAAAACTGACAAACAGTAAAAAATAACCCTTATTTTGATGCCGTTATACAAAAAATTTTTGTCGCGTTTTAAAAATTGAATAAAAAATTTGACTTTCCAAATTACTTTCTAGCACTTTAAAATTAAGGTCTTTTCTTTTAAAATTCTAAATAAAGATTGACATAAAAAGAGAATTTTGACATAAAATAAGAATTTTGGGTACTGGGTGTGGAAAGCCCTTTTTTGATTCTTACTTTTTTTTATATATATATATTTGATTCTATTTATCTTATATCTTAATTTATAATCCATTTTTAAATGAACTTAACTATTACAAAAGTATTTTAAAAATCTTGCTTTTGTTTATGTCACTGCTGCTTACAGGTATTTTTAAAAGTTTTTTTCTTTTTCTTATATAAAAATAATAAGGGTGGGATTACTTAAAATTATAATTTCTTATTTATTAAATCAAAAAGACTAAAATTTACGAATAAGACAATTTTTTTTTTCGTTTAATTGGAGCCTTGAGGCTTTGCACAAGCTGAGATCCATACTCTACAGTGGTGTTATTACAATTTTTTTAAGTCAGTTTTTGATTTTACTATTCCTAACATTTTGCGTATTTGCGTATTTTTATGTTTAAACCTGCTGTAAATGTGTCGTCACTTTGAATTAATCTATTTTATTTAATTGCATTTTCACTTCTACTATTTTAAACAACATCGGAAGCTTTTTATTGCTTAAGTATAAATGCAGGTTTGACGGTCAGTGTATTACTCGGTAATTTTAAATAACTCCTTCGTTGTCAAAAAATGGAAAGAATCCTTGTCATGTCTAGGTCAAAGTTTATTAGTTTATTATTATTTTTTTAAATTCGTTAAACAAAAATCTTCAAATATCTTCAATCATTATATCTTTTTTGTGATATTTTCAAGCTCGTTTAATATACTGTTGCTTTTTTTATATATATATTTATATTTAAGATGTCCGATTTAAATTTATTAACAAATACTATTTTTTTCGCGTTTAAGTATACAAAATATATTTTATTTTAATTTAAGCTGGTGTTGCTTTATTTTTTTTATTTCGGTGAAAGTTCAGCGCGAAAATATTTTGAAAATATCGTTGAAAACTTAGCGCTAATATAAAACACAAAATAAAGATAACAAAAAATGAACATATAGACATATTAGAAACGAAACTGAATATTTATGAATACAAGTTGTTATTGCGCTTCTGCTTCCTATTTATCTTTGTAAAATTTGTTTCTTTTCAATAGCAAAATTTCTAGTAACAATACTTTTAATTTAGGATTTGATTTGGATATTTGATGGGATAAGATTTACCTATTTTCAATAAAGAAATATATAGTTTAGTTTACTTTTATTTATTTTTAAATGAAGTAAATGTTAAAATAAGCTGATGTAAAACTTATAGGCTTATTTGTGCAGATCGAATTGTTTCTACTTATGTACAGTATACTTTAAACATAAACCTTACATACCTTAATTGTTTCTACTTATGTACAGTATAATTTAAACATAAACCTTACATACCTTAATTGTTTCTACTTATGTACAGTATAATTTAAACATAAACCTTACATACCTTAATTGTTTCTACATATGTACAGTATAATTTAAACATAAACCTTACATACCTTATTTGTTTCTACATATGTACAGTATAATTTAAACATAAACCTTACATACCTTAATTGTTTCTACTTATGTACAGTATAATTTAATCATAAACCTGTACTGTATAATTTAAACATAAACCTTACAACTTAAATTGACACATTGGTAACTGGTTATTCTGAATCAGTAAAGCTTTAAAGAGGCTGTCCATTATTTACGTAAACAAAATAGAAAAGGTAGGATCTGATGTTTTTTGACAATAGTTGACAAAGGGGATGGATAGTTCATGATTGATGATATATGATGTCATTAGTGTTACTTTATTTTAATAAAATTAACTACTTAAAATAGGAGAATTAAGCAACGTTTGCAGTTCCGTGTTAAGTGCTCGCTCAACCTTCAGTATTTTCATAAATCTATTCATGTTTCTATTTTTTTAAAACTGCATTGTGCTTTAAAAAGACCCAACACATACAGAACTAAATAACCATACACGAGATATTTACTCGTTACATTATTATTCTTTTAAAGTTGTTATTGGTTAGTCTTCTGTGCAAACAAAAACAATTCATGTAAGTAAATTGTCTATTTTTGATAATAAATTGTGATTTTGGTCTAAATGTTAAAGTGAGGAGAATTTTATTAATGTTTTTATGCAATATGTTTAAATTTAAACGTTAAAGGTGAAAGGTAATCGAATGTTGACGTAATTTTAGAGAAGCAGGGGGGTTTCTAGAAGTTAAACAAGTTGTTGACAAGGATGAGAGGGGAGGTAAAAATCGCCAAAAAATTGTCGACGTAATTTATGCACAGCCCCAAATCAGTATCTTAACTTTATTATAACAACCTTAATAGGCATTTCATTGTTTTAACGCGCAGTGCCAAAAACATTACTGATCTCCTCAATTCTCAAATATCAAGTCTACCAAAGTTAAAGATTGTAGTACCCTTAGGTTTTTTATTAGTTTCTTGTATTTTTTTAAAAATAATTGTAATTTTTAAAATTAATTAAAATATTTTAATAATGAAACGTTGGCCCCAATGATGATTCATTTTGGAACATCTTGTTCACCTGGAAAATTTGCCTTAATTTTTGGGGTTTATATGTACGAAAGCTGAAACTAAAAATTAATTAGTAATTTAACTAAGTTTAAAAAATCAAACATTACCTAACAGCATACCCGTATTCAAAACATTTTTTACATACATACATCACTCACCTTTACTCTTCCCAGACTTCATTATCACTCTACTTTGCCTAATCATACATTTCTGATGTTCTGGTTTTTTGTAAAAACTCTTTTCCACTTTTACATAATTGTAGAATTTACAACTTCAGTGGGCATGCGTCGTCCGGTAAACTTCTCTCGGATGCGTGGACGTCCGTGAGACGTCGGACGGACGTTTCCCAAACAACGTGCGCCCACTGGGACATGACATTTTGAAATTCATAACACATAGAATTATTCATTTCAGTTTGTTGATAGAAAGCAAACTGTCCTCTGAGTTTAAATTAATGAGAACACACGTTCATGATGCGTATTATGCGGTGGAACCGCGAACAAAGATGGAGTCATTTTCAATAGATTACCTTTTCTTTCTGTCTCTTTAATCTTTTTGAAATAGTGCAACTGTTTATCATACCCATCTTTCATTTTCCGTTCTTCAAACGTAACTTTTTCAATAAAAGATTTCATATACATAACTTACTCATAAAAATAATCCGTAAACAACATACCCTTTTCACTTAAACATTTAGTGTTTTTTTTATTTAGGTTACTTCTTTGAAAAGAATTTTTTTTCTTTCACATCTTTGCTTTCAACAAGGCTGCAAGCAACCACTAATTAGTGTTGGAAGTTACTGGAAGAGAAAAGATGAAGATTGTAGAGCAAGATAACGATTGACTTACGACTTAAAAGGTTGCAAATTATATAAATCAGGAAAGCAAGACGAAGGAAGCGAATTCCAAAGAACTGATGTTCGAGGAAAAAAACTAAGAACAAATAAGAGTTTTTGGAGCACTTAGGAACAGTTACAGAAAAAGGATGAGACTTAATTGAATGACGAGTAACACGAGAATGAATTTTTGTAGATGGCACAAGAGACGCTAGCTCTTTTAGAGCAGTGCCCATTATAGTATTTGTAGAAAAGAGAAAGAGAAGCGACATTTCGACGATGTGACAGAGGTTGAAGGTTGGCTGCAAGAGTAGGTCCAACTATGTTTACAATGCATTTTTGCATCTTGTCTAAAAGAGAAAGGGCATCATTAGAAGATTCACCCCAGATATGGCAACAGTATTCCATACAAGGCCGGATTTGAGATTTATAGAGATAGAGAATAGAATCCAGAGTTAGAAAGTGACGAGCTCGATAAAGAGAAGCGACTTTAGCAGATGCTAATTTTGCAACGGATTTGATATAAGGTTTCCAAAAAAGATCAGAAGTAAGAGTTAATCCTAGAAGATGAAGGGTAGGAGACTCATCGAGTACATTACTGTTCATAAATATAGGAAGGTCTAAATTATTGCGATAACGATTGGCTGAAAAAAATTGAGTTTTATTTGAATTAAAGTTCACCATCCACTGTGAGACCCATGCTGTAGCAGAAGCGAGATCCTTTTCAAGCTCAAATGCCCCCTGCAAGCAATCAGAGGGAGTTGGCTTCTTATCGTGACAAGAATAAATGGTAGTATCATCAGTGAACAATGCCACCTTAGATGTGAGAAAATCTGGAAGATCGTTAATGCAAATTAAAAAGAGTATAGGGCCAAGGATTGAACCTTGAGGAACCCCTGAGGTTACAGAATAAGAAGAAGAGTGCTGTTTATCAAGGACAACTTTTATACTACGATTGGAAAGGAAGGATTCGATAATTTTAAAGATGTTTCCAGATAAACCGTAGGAAGAAAGCATATTGAGAAGACCAGCATGCCAAACTTTATCAAACGCCTTAGAAATGTCAAGAGCGATGGCCTTAACCTCTCCACCTTTATCAAATGCGCGATAAAACCTATCGGTTATTACTGTTGGCAAATCAGCCGTAGAACGAGAAGATCGAATTCCATATTGATGAGCAGAAATTACGATAAAACTCCATACGTGGGCTTTGGAACTGACCATTTTGCCGAATAATCAAGTCCCACGTTAA